ATTCAGTAAAGCTCTGGTCACCTGTCCTCCAGAGTCAAGTCTCTGTCTCTGTCCGTGCATAAGCTGAAACACTGAGCTAAGTATGTCTTTACTCATTTTATGCTGCCCACAGAACAAATGCAACAAGACTTTTTCAAGTGGAAGATTGTTACCCAAAGTTTAACTTGTGGCATTCCTTGCCCTAGGTTGGCAGTAGACTTTAGGTATTTTTCAAATATAAAAGTCCTCTTGTATTTTGAGAAGTCTGATGCCATTCAGCTCTCTTATGCCTTACTGGTTGCAAAAATACAACTACCATTGGATACATGAGGAATAAAAGCTAACATTGGGAACACCTGAAAGTTCAAGCCAAAGAAATATCTCTCAAAAAAATCCCAAACCCCAATTCTCAATCATATCAGTCCAACACCAAGAATGAGACCACTAAAACCGGTAACAAGATTTTAATCTCAGTGGCTTCAGGATTAATTCCAGAAAGCATTTGCTTGTAGCAGAAATTAGATGTAAAAGAAGATTCACAATGGATACCATCACTCTGTTACAGACTAACTACATGGTAATAGAGAAAAAATTTATGTTCCATAATATTATCCCTGCAGCTCAAAAGTGCCCCCCCCCCCCTTTTTTTTTTGGTAAAATGAACACTGTTTCCTCTCACATAGAAACTAGTTTCTATTTCCTTTAAGTGCCTCTTTTGCTTGAGAGACGGATTATCAGTAGTTTACCTCTTCAGGTCATGTAAAAGACTGAAGCATTTCAAAGAAATCACTTGTTTTCATAGCTAAGTTAAAGCTCAGCTGTGTGACCTCCAAGTGGATATTCTATAATAGGGCAGCAATGCTTGACTGGGCACTCAAGCTTGGCCCTCCAGCCCAGCACAGATTTGGCCAGCTCACTCCAGAGAACTGTATGATGAACTGCAGGAGTACAGTAAAGCTAAAAATTTGCCGTACATGGAAGCTAACAGCTAACAGCTTCCCTAAGCCAAAATGTAACATTCAGAAACAAAACTGGGCTAAAATGGAGAATGAATAAGGGTAAGGCCAGTCAAGAGCAACAAAAAGAAACCTAAAAGCAGAATTCAGAAGGAGAAGCTTGAAGTACTTCACACCAAGTAGGACACAGCATTCATGGGATTTTTTTATCCTCTTTTTATTCTCTTATCTTTTTATTCTCTGACATTTTTTCTCTCTTGCACTCTACCAAGTGGTCACCAGAAAGAATGGAAAACAATGCATGGAAACAGATTGAATACTAGCAAGTATTTGCAAGCTTTCTCTGTGCACATCAAATGTCTTCTGTGCACATCAAGGAGTTAGGTGAATTACTCGTCACAAACCTACAAGAGATCTGGAAAACACTAAAACCAGCTGTTGATAGCCAGGTGTGCTAGTGTTGCTGCAAAAAATGCCCCTCTGTCCTTTTATTGGACAGAGTCAAATGAGGTGATGCCAGCCTTAGGACAAAGAGGGTTCTGTATCAATTGATGGAATTATTTGAATAAGCCCTAATACTGTAAGGCTCAAAATATACTTTTTGCAATTTCCTGTAATAATAATAGAAGAAAAGGAGACTAATTATTAAACAAGAAAGTATTTCAAGCAGCAGTTAGCCATCGTGTTCTGTGTGAAACAGACCAAAGTATTACATAGGTAGATTAAGATGGTGGGAGATGAGACATGTCCGTTACCAACAATCTCATGAACAAACTGACCTCCCTCCCTGCAAATTAGGAGGACAAAAGTTACATGAAAAAATTTCCACTGGGTCAGGACACAACTGTTCCTCATAGTACCATGAATGTAACTCAAATAACAACAACAAAAAATAATCTTGTCAGCCCTGTTAATGTCACAGTTTCTCTTTTTCCTTTCACTTTAATTGTACACACACCCAAGCCGGTTAGACATTTTTCCATTCTTGAAATAAGGTAAACTCACATTGGGCTTGCATAGAAAGAGTGAATCAGTCAGTGAAATATTCCATCAAGAGAAAAAAAGAAGCCTTGAAGATCAGAGTTGCTCAGAGGAAGAAAGTAATTGTCTGTGGTGGGAAAAATAAATGAAATGTTAATAATAATCAGATTCCCATGTTGAGATATCTAGTACTGAATGCAGTAGGCTTTGCTTTCACAGAGTTTGAGCAAGGCTTACAAAAAATGTGGGGATATTGTTGCTTTACATTGTCTTTACATCTCCTATAACCCTAAGCTAGAAGTTTAGGTGCCACATATCTTCCTAAATACGCATTGTTCACCCCTTCTCCAAATCAGAGATACTGGTCTGCTTGGCAACCACAACTTTTTCCTCCTTTATAGTACCATACTCCACCTATTCTTCCTTCCCTTTTGACTGTCTTCAAGCCCAATAGCACCAGGGTCCTAAAAGCAAAGGCTTCTACCTACTGCAGAGTGCAGAGGCTACATACAATCTTTCCACAAGTAGGCATTTTTTTGAATGTACTTTACCTCCCACCTATTCCAAACTTCCTCCAACCTGTAGCAAATGCAGCCAAAAACTATCTCCTGCATTTATTTCTCTTGGTGTCTGTTACCATCAAGATATTCTTGAGTGCATTCAGTGCAACCTTATCAAGAAAAGTAATATCATCTCCTATTGATCTTCCAACAAGAATGTCAAAAGCAGAACAGGATGTACAGAGATGAAGCTGAAAAAGACTTCAGACTCACAGAAGTTTGTCAGATATAAGCCAAGGTAATTCAGGCAATGTACCAGAAACAAGCTTGTGGCCTCTGCAAAGGACTTATTTCAGTCAGAATCCTTTAAGATAGCAAGACCAAAACTCACAGTGAACTGAATATATTTCACCCTACAAACTACATTGTTATCTAACACTATAGCTGATAGCTGATCTCCTCTACCAAATAAAGTATCTGGAAAAAAATTCAAATGTTGTGTGAAAGCAGCACTACCTTGATTAAGTGACAAGAATATTATTCTTTATTTACTCGGGAGAATACTTATTTCAAGAAGGTGAAGTACAAAGTCCATGCAGCAGCAAGTGGTAATCCCTTTCTAGAAGAAAGTCTGAAACAACACCTGCAATATGCATTGATATGTTTAACAAATCCCAAAGGTAAAGACAGTAACTTCATTTTAAATGGAGAACAGGCATTCCTTGTCTGGTAAAGTCAACCAGACTGCGTAGATAATAGGCACAAAGAAGCAAACTGTCCTGTTCTTCAGGGGAGCAACTCTAGTCCCTCTTAGACTCACAGAACCCAACTGGTGGCTTGCTTATACCTGCTTGTAATTAGAAGTTCAAGACATTGCCTCGTTTTTAGCCTTGAGGCTACAAAGTACAGAGAGATGTGGTAGGGAATAGGGATTTTCCCTTGATGTAGCTTTTGTCTGTTGCCTTTTACCCTTCTGTTGCACCCTTCTGAGAAGAGTTTGGATGCAGCATTTCTATAACACCACCTGTAATTCACTGAGGACAGCCACAAACTGAAAAAAACACAATGAGACACTGAGGGGGCTGAATATCAAAAAAGTGCATGCTAGATATGAAAACAAATATGGTACTGATAACCTCTCTTCCTTCCTTTTTTTAGTTCAGGGGGGGTTAAGAACAGTTAGTAACTACCCATGCTTTACAAAGGTCAGTGTTTACTTGATAGCATGAAGATAAATGTTTCCTGCAGTACAACCCATGCGGACACGTCTATGTCGTTGCTAATATGCAGAGCATCAGTAGGCTCCTGTGGTTAAAACCACTCTGATGCAGACCTTCTGTCTGCAGGCAGCTTTCAGTCTCCCTGAATCCTTTGCATCACAGTCCATTAAGAAACTGTAGATAAGTGAGCAAGTGCTCAGTTACCATGGTCATACACAGCCCTGTACACATCACTCATGAGCTATTTATAAGTAATTAAAGCTGTATGCATTATTTAATGAAACAAAATCTTTGAAACTTCCCGGAAAAAAATCCAACAAACAAGTAGAAATTGGGATATCCAGGGACTGGATTAAGTACTTAAATCTCTAAATCATCAGCCCAGACAGATAAATAGAGGGTAACAATTAATTCTTCGTCTTGCTTGTATCCAAGTTTTCTTCTTTGCAGTAGAACTAAAGTATGTACAAAGAACACACACCTCCCAGCCAATTCCTTATCCACAGAGTCGTCTATCCATCAAATCCATATTTCTCCAATTTAGTGGCAAGGATGTCGTGCGGGACAGTGTCACATGCTTTGCATAAGTCCAGGTAGATGACGTCAGTTGCTCTTCCCTTATGCACCAGTGCTGTAACTCTGTCATAGAACACCATCAGTCTTGTCACGCACAATTTGACCTTAATGTTCACGTTGTCTTTACAGACAACAGCTCTTTAAATCTAATCAAACTTTAAACATGTCAAATCACCTACAATTCCAGAGGCATTAAAAAAAATATGGCAGTGTGCTTCCAAATAATCTGCCTTGGAAAATTAAACCAAATTAAATAAGTCTTTGCTGCTTCAAAACGCTTTTCTATGAAAATAACTTTTAAATATGTTCAAAGTACTTTTGTCTAAACATATCAGATGCCTGCCTCTGACGTAGTATTATAGTTTGAAGAGCAACTGGTGACTTGCAAATAGTTTGTTGCATGCGGGACCTTAATACTGGCATACCTTAAAGTATGTTTTTCTAATATTCCATTGAGCCCATCCAATCAATTTTAAAGTATGAAATTTCAGAACACAGGCATGTAGCAGGTGAATTTTGTCAAGACAATACTGCAGTATTTGCAGCCCATCTGATAAAACCAAGAGGTACTTCTGATTTGAAAGTACCAATCAGAAAGGGACAAGAATTCAAAGTTCTAGAGAGGATTTTTCTGTTTTTTGGTAACACAGACAGACACAGAAAACAAACCCAAAGTAATTCAGTCTCATCCGGTTTAACCTCAACCACGAGACACCGCTGTCTGTTTTCTTTCTCACGTCACCGTGCACTGAAAAAAAGGGAACTTCCAGTTTGTGGTGAGGATATATGATAAACAGATCTGTTCACACCAACTAGCAGGGCTGCCTGCGTCAATAAAAGGCGGTAGCAGAGTCAGTGAACTGACATTTGGTGCTTGGAGGACTATCGCTGCAAAAGTCGCTTCACATTAAAGTGAAGTAAAATGCCAGGACTTTTCTTTCCCCACAACAACATGACTGAACTAAATGCAAAAGAAGACTGCAAGCTTGCAGAAGGCAAAATCCATAAAAAGAAGCAAAAGGCTTTGTAAGTATATATATCTTAGTATAATCTCTAATGTATTAGAAGTGAAAATAACACTAGAATGTTATTGGAGATCACAAATTAGCACCATGTTTTGGGCTAAATGACTGCAAAGCCTGCTCAAAGCCCAGGGCTATAGCATCATTAAAAATGGCTTGAGCTGATGCATACCAATGAATTGATTCCCTTAAGTAATCAGGAGTTGATTTTGGATGCGTTGAGACCCTCTTAGTCTTTTCAAAAAAATTACTTTGATATGTAACTTCCCAGACTTCAGTCTTAGGATGAAGCTGTTAAGAATTTTAAGTAGAATTGGAATGCAACTGCAATTTTAATGGATTATAAAAATGTTTTTCATTGGTTTCAGTGGTGCAGATCTCAAAAATTACTTGAAGTGCATGGTACCACATATCGAATCTGGGATCAAGACTTCTGACTCCAGAAATGTCATGTAAGTACTGAGATATATATTGTTATAACTTAGTGTAACTATAGCTAGATGACTATATAGTAAACAGTTTTATCAATTTCTAAACTACTTCTAGAACAACAAATACTATAATAATGCCTAGAATTTCCAAAATACAAAAGAGGTGAACATCAGGAAGTAGAAAACATTCATGGAGTTAAGGATTTTTCTGCGATGTGTTTGCATCAGTGAGGGAAAAGACACCTCTGTTAAATCTGTTTTCTTCAGAAGGAGATTGTATCCATCCTATAAAGATTTACAAGAAATGATGCTTCACACTTGAGTGAAGAGCAGGGGTATTACCATTCTTGTTTCAGAAATATGGAAAGAGAAGTATGGATACAAAATTGTTTGGTTATAGTCACAGTAAAAGCTTATCTTTCTGGGAACAGAATTCAGGATAAGATTGCTGTTCCTTGTTTTTCCATCTCTCTGATTATTTTTCTCAATGTGAGGTTGCCTCCAGGGTCTCAGATTATGAGAAAACCATGAGTTTAATAAATACCTGGTACACATTCCTCAAATAGAATTATAAAATTTGTCTCCTTTAAACATGCAAACAAAACAATATAGTTTCTTGCCTAAAGTCTTCTCTTTTTCTTGTCATCTCAGGCTTTCTGCAGAGGAAGTAACACAGTGGTCCCAGTCTTTGGAAAAGCTCTTGGCCAGCCAAAGTAAGTCTACCACTTCAGTATGACTTCTTTCTTATTCTGAGGACAAAGTTTTATCTAATCTTGCCGAACAGGCAAAGCTTTAGCATTCTGCAATCACTGCCAGAGAATGGCCAGTTGCATTTCAGTTATTTACAGCTCTAGTGTAACATGGCTACTGTTACAGCTTTGCTTCCAAGTTTGGTTTGGGGTTGTTTTTTTTCCTTCCATTTCCTACTCTCAGTATAGCATATAAACCCCAAATAGCTCAATTCAGTGCTTTTTGATCAGTCTCCTGTCCTTGCATAACACATCAGTTTTATTTGAATTTTCTCTCCACTTGTACCCTAAGACAATCCATTTAGGGAGAACTAGAATCCACTGATGAATCTTGGTACTCAGGGTTTAGGTCTAAAAACATTGAACTAGGAAGGCTCCCATCACCCTAAATATTAGAGTATCTGTAGTATGTTGAAGAAGGGAAGAACAGTGTATTTTGGCAAGATTTTATTACAGAGATTTCAATACAACTCCTGCTACTTATTTTACCCTCACTGGTCACAAATATCATGCTATAAATGATGATGTATTTGTGTTGACTTTAGGTGGTCAAGGTGTCTTTCGGGAGTTCCTCAAGTCAGAGTTCAGCGAGGAAAACATCGAGTTCTGGTTGGCTTGTGAGGATTACAAGAAAACCAAGTCTGATCACTTACATGGCAAAGCAGAGAGGATTTATGAGGAGTTTGTTCAATCAGATGCTATTAAGCAGGTACGTACAAAGTGTAGTGTTACAGTACAGGGATTCTGGAAAATCAGAAGATAGAAGTGTAGCTTCACCGAGGTGCTTATACATCCATTCAGTTATGTAGGACAGAGACACATGTTTTTATGAGCATACTTGCATCATTACTGTCTTCAGCCATGAGATAAACAGATCTCACAGATCAGAGTCACAGGATACAGGCCAGTACTTGGGAGCACCATTAGCAGCAGCTCAGCAGAGGTGCCAGTGGCTCAGTACATGATGCTGTTCTCTGTGTCAGCCTAGTTTGAATTATTGCTGGTGTTTGGAGTCAGATACTTAGCGCTCTACTAGTAGCAGAGTCATGGAATATTTCTTGGTTTTTAAAATATGTGGACATTCCGGAGAATTAAATGTTGTGTATTTTGATTATATTTCAAACTGAAGACTTTCATTCTACACAAGATTTCTCCTATTATTTTAATTGGAGGTTGCTCCTCTACTTACTCCGTTGTTGAGCTGTATTACTTCTGACTCCATAAGAAACCAAATTTCTATAGTGAGTAGCGATTTTTGTGCATAACTGGGATATAAACATTAACATTCCCTCATTTTGCAGTTCTGAAATTGAGCTATCACACTGAGTTCTAAGGCTGCAAATTCGTTTATGGACAAAACAAAGTGATATATACACAAAGAGAGCACATTTTAAGATGTCAATGGCATTTGTTTTTCACTTTCCAGATCAATATTGACTATCAAATGAGGGAAGCAACAGCCAAAAGGGCTCAAGACCCAACTCATACAAGTTTCGATGAAGCACAGAAAACCGTGTACATCCTCATGGAAAGGGATTCATATCCCAGATTTTTGAAATCCAAGGCCTACCTGAACCTTTTGAACCAGCTGCAAACCAACACTTCAAAATGAAGTGTTTGAGGCAGTGAAGAGCCAAGTAGACTCTGTGTCAAATGTCCCGTGGAGAGATCCTTCAGGGTGGTTGGACCTCGGCAAGGAGAACCCCTGCCTTGGGGGGAGAGGTAGGAGGGAGGTGCAAACAGCTCCACAGCCAAGAGAACGAGGGATAAAAGCTGGCAAGACTGTTACAAGGGTGACAGCAGGACAGGGAGAAAATCCTCTCCTCCCATACACCATGGGGTCAAGACAAGATACGGATACTATTTATTTGAACTACACTGTGATCATTGAAACAAGAACTTAGATCCCAAAGAACTACTGATTATTACGAAGTGCAAGAATAGTGAGCTGAGTTTTGAGAAAAGATTATCAAGTTCAGAAGAAAAAGGATGACTGACAATTTTGTGTCTGACCAGAAAAAGCCCAGACAAGACTGATTAATAACTTTTAAAAATCTGTGAAGTGTTAATAAGTGTGAATGCAGCTCCATGTTGCTATTGTGCTGTGTAAATATATTATAAATTGACATATCTTAAAATTGATGTATTTTAAATTATATAAGTGTTATATAAGCTGTACTTTTACTGTTTGTATTCAACAGGCAGGTATGTAGCATGTTTTCTGTTTAATTTATTGCAAAATAATAAGCAACTCTTCAATCAAATCTACTTAAAAATAAAGTTTTATTGACATTTTACATCTTATTTTAAGTGATCATTCCATTGTAATTGCTGAAGTATGAAAAAACATGTGGTTCCCTTCTGTCCTACTGTGCCACCACTACCCATCTCCTTATCCAAAAATTAATTTTCCCTACCCCATCTCCCCATCTTTTCACTTTTTTTTTTTAAACACATTTTACACATAATCTTAATTATCTGGTGATCCTAACCTATATGATCCCCAAAAAGAAAACAACAATGAAAATAATAAAAAAAGAGAAGCTGTTCTAAATATCAGCTATCATGACCCAAGTCAAATCTCAAATACAAAAAACATTTCATCACTGTGCCACAGTTCAATCCACTTTGATGCTGATGATGTGCTGAGCACAGTAGATCACCCGTGCTCACTTATGTAGAGAGGCAGTAACTGAAGCTCACTAGCAATCACATTTCTTGTGATATTAGTACTACTCAACCTAATCTTGGCAAGATCCAGACTCTGATTTACAATACCAATACTAGCATCAAAGGTCATTTAACTTAACTGCAAATGTTGTATTAAATTTACTCTAAAATATACAATGTTATGAGTAGCCTACCCCACGGTGCGTAGTGATAAGAACTAAAGCAAAAGAAAAAAGTTGCATTTATGCTTGAACAATGTAACTACGAACACAGGCGCTATCAAAGACCTTCTGACATTAGAGCTTATAATGAAAATAAATCAAAGAGTGCACTGGTCTTAATGAGTCACTATCATGAGATACAGCTATCACACGGGTGGCAATAAAAGATTTTATCTCATTCTTGCAGATTTTCCATTTTCCAAAATAACATAAGATTATTCAGTCACAGTCCATTATTCTGTACCAAATGGAGAAGCTGTAAACCCACAGATGTCACCTCATGGGGAGAACAGACTGTGTTCATACTGCCACCCTTTGGGGACGTTGAGACCTCCAAGGGAAGACAAAATCTTCAGTGTTACAAGCAAAACTCTGCTGGAAGGAGCATAGCTAAGTGGCAGTTGTGCCAGCTTCCACTATCACATACTGTTGTAGCTGGAAAGCCACTGCAAATCACACCTTCCTACTTTCAAGGCCAGTTAAACGCAGAACAAAAGAATCTGGACTTGCAGTATTATTTTCCTTTTGTCAAATGTGTATACCTGAGGGAGGCTCTGATTGCAAAACCTGAATACTCCTGAAACAATGTAAACCAGTCTCCAGTTGATGCTCTCTCACATGAATTAACTTTCCAGAATCAGTAAGAATAAATCTAATTCCTGTGAAGCAGGAATAACAACTATGCCTCCCACACAAGGGGCATCCTCATGTTTGTTCTGACACAGTTAGCTTGGACAAAATGACACTGTTTGCATAGCTTCAGTCTCACAGAAGACAAAAGAGAACTATGAAATATCAGCTACCCTCCGAACAGACACTGCCTTCAAGTAATATTATTCTTTTGACTGTAAATCCCTTAAATTAGTATAGGCTTAGTTTTCATTTACTCCCCCTGCTGTCTGACAATTTTGCCATGATTTAGCCAAACACCTACATGATGTTTCTGACTGAAACCATATTTCTTAGTATGGCTAAGAATGTTAAGAATATTTTTTTTTTAATGGCTAGCTGCTGCCAGAGAAGACTATTTATCAGAAGCGATTTCATCTATTGTTGGGGAGACAATCTACTGTTGGAGTAATGGGCAGATATATGTTTCCAACTCAACATAGGTCTTGGAGGTGAATATAATGAAAAGGAGAAGGTGTACTATGAAGTCAAGCCATGGTTTTGGGTGCTGCAGCAGCCACTGCTCCTTTCAAGAGATGGCCAACATCGCCGCCTGTGCCCGCTGCCCTGTGACTTTGCATTGGGCAGAGCTAATCTTTTCGCTAAAGACTGTTTAACCACCACAGCTGCTCAAGTATTCACAGATGCTGCCTGGCACCCTGCATCCTGACCTCCTACAAAGAGTCACCGGTTCTACCCTGACAGGAAAGGGTGAAAAAGTGACACTATAACATGCTGGTTAGAGCCCTCTAAAAATAAACTAAACCTGTCCATAGGAGAGACCAATACAGCTCTCAGGGAGCACACCAACCACTTATATCACACTGAGTTCATATAGCCAGAGGAGGGAAGAAGAGGGGACTTTTCACAATCTCCCACAAGTGTATCTCCCTGGTTCGTGATGTGGTACATTATGAGAATGGAAAGTGGTGGGTGCTTTTTCAAAAAGAAATGGTTCCGTTACTTACAAGCCAACCTTGGTACATTTCTAATCTTTCACCTTATTTGCAGTAGGAACCTGTAGGAACCTGAAAACAACTACAAAGGTCAATTGCCCAGGTTGTTAATTCCAGAGATATTCCAGCCCACTCAAGTGTCCCTGGCAACATGACCATGTTTCACCAAGCAATAAACAGCATAGCAGAAATTCAGAGTTGTCTCTGGGATGCTGTTGTAAGCCCAGTATTACATATCTGTTGCTATAGCAGGGCTATACAAAGCCAGTTGTTTAAACAAGGTCCAAGAGATCTGGAAGTATTTTATGGCAATTTATAGTGCCATCCATACTAATCTACTTCATAAAAGGAAGAAGCTGTAAGTAGTAGTTCAATGGTACAACTGAAACAATTTACAGTATTTTAAGACACTTAACAATATTTACCTGCATTAAAACAGTCCAGAGATAGCTATTTTTATTATTTTTTCAAAAATCTTTTTTTCAAAATGAGTATACAATGCTTATTTTGCAGTGATTTTTTTTTTTTTTTTTAAATATTGCCTAAGTGGAGGTTCTTTGGACTCAGAAAAACAGCCAAACATAGAGATCAAAGGGATTAAGGACTCAGTATTTCCTGTGACCCTCGGTTCATTTACAAGGTGCATGCACCACATCAAGTTCATTTGTGATTTCCTACTCATCTCCTCCCCTCACCCATGCACAGAAATAGCCTCAGCATTGCAGGTTGGTTTCACAGCTGTGGGTTGTGCCCTGCCCAGCATGGCAATCTCTTCCAAAACGGGACATGTTACACATCGAATGTGGAAAGCGTGCCTCCCTGGAAACTTCCCATACTCAAAGTAGAATCTTTTGAATGCAAGCTCTATTTACTATCTTGTAAATGAATTAGTAGGCAATTGGAGGAAACTGTCCTTTTTCAACATATATTAGACTGAGGTAATTATCAGTTAACTGCTAAAACTTTCCAGAACATTAAGGCTCTGACAGTGATCCAACACTTATTAAAATATTAAATATGTATGTCAAACAGCTTATTTGATTATTTTTTAAAAACTAGATTCAGCTTTCCCTTTTTGAAGAAAATATACTGCAAGAGAATGGAAATTTGCTGTTCCATTCACAGTCTCTAAGAAAAATGGTTGAATCAGATTTGCCATCAGCTACAGATCGCTGTAGGAGAGCAGGATGCAGTATACAGAGAAGCTTTAAGATTTAACAGTAGTGACTTGGACTTGAAGATGTTTCTGCCTTACCTCTGAAAGAAACATTTTCATTGTTTGTCAGTGTGTCAGTATAAAGTGTACACAGCGTTTCAGTATACTGTCTTCAGGTATACTTTTGAAACAAATCAACTTCTCCCTGCTGCAGAGAGAAATTTTCTTTATAGGAGGATTCAAGAGTCCAGCAGACTCTGAGTGTACATTTAGAAGACTAACTTTAACCTCTCCAATTTGGAAAACCTTCTCTAAATGTATTCCCTGAAATAATATTTTTAATATTATCCCAAATAAAACTAAAAATATGGTATAACATAGTACCATTCTCTCCCATATATTGAAAAGGCCATCCACAGAAGCCTGTTAGTAGAGACATCCTATCATTATGCACAGTGAAACAGGAAGGAAAAGAAAGCTGAGATGGCGATGAATAGTACAAACTCATCACCTTAGACCCCTAAGTGCCACCCGTCCCTGCCCACGCTCTGAAGTAACAGGCTTTCCAGATGTCATCTCCTTTATGATTGTGAAATGAGTTTGAAAAGCAAAAATAGATGACAATAGGTGGAAAAATTAGATGTTCTCATCTTCCATTCAGAGACAGGAGTTGATTGTATCAGAGTATAATGTCTATAAATGAAGCTTTTAGAAATTAAATCTTTAGTCATTAAACAGAGAGAAACTGCAAAACAAGTACTTGCTTAATATTCATTGGATAATTTAAATTTGTCTTGCACGCTCGGAAACAAAGTCAGAGAGGAGTTAAGGTTATCCCTAGGGTGGGTTTTTTTTTTTTGGATAAATACAGCCTTAAAGGTTTTAGTTACAAAAAGGAGATTTAGATCAACCAAGAGGTGATGTACTCATTTTGAAAATAAACTCATTCCCCTTCATTTCTCAAAACAGCCCCAGAAAGTATTCTTTTGAATGACCCCAAAGATGATCAACATTTAAACTCTACTTCCCTTATATTTCTTCAAACAGCCAAAGCACCACAAAGCCTTAAAGCACTTCTCTAAACTAGTTTGGTGGCCAGTTTTCACATGGTCCCTTTCACTAATAAAATTAAAAATAGCTTGAGTGAAAAATGAAGTGCATAAATGTAAACCTATCAGGATCGCTCTAGACTTGTGT